CTGCCTGAGGTCTGTCACCTGGCACTGTGCCACCCTGTGAGGGATCCACCTGCTGGCCCAAGACAGGAGCCACAGAGCCCAATTCTCCCATTTATGGCCGAGGAGACAGAAGTCCAGAGGTGTGACTTGTCTGTGGTCACACAGCAATCAGAGTTCAGGGTCTGTGCTCTCCGACCTCGTGGTAATCCAGGCAGCTGTCAAGGAGGCCTCCTAAGCAAGGCAGGACTACTCGCCATCAGAGGGAAATGTTACAGGCCCACAGGAGAAATCAGATTTAAGGTAACAAACTTGCTCTTAAAGAAACTCTTTTCTTTGTAACTTCCTTTACCTTCTTCTGGCCTCAAAAAGGCTTTGCTTCATCTCCTTTAAAAAAAATATATATAGCTTTTAAGTTTGCAGTACTGGGGATTGAACCCAGGGCCTTCGCACTGAGCTACATCCCAAGTCTCTTCTTTTTTTAAAAAGTGGAGACAGGGTCTTGCTAAGTCACTAAGTCGCCCAGGCTGGGCTTGCACTTGGGGTCTTCCTGCCTCAGTCTCCCAGAGTGCTTGGATTACAGGTGTGGACCACCCTGCCTGGCTGCCATTTTTGTTTTAAGGGTAGTGTTGTCCTAAATGCATGGGAGTGTGAAATGGTTCAGAATGGGTGAGAGGCTGAAAGACAGCCAAGAAAAACCTGAGCTCTTCTGTGGCTTTGGCACGTTGCTTTTTGATATTAGATGGTGGGGCTAAAGCCACAGATGTTTCTAGAATAAAAGGTTTGGAGCTCTGGAAAGCACTGGAGGCCCCTGGAGAGTTTCTTGGAGAAGATCCTTTGGCTCCACTTTTCCTCCAGTAGATTCCTCATTGGCTTCCTCTATTTCCTACTGTCCATTTCTTTATCATTATGTTTAGTATGTCTTCCTCCCTCAGACTAGACTGCAAGCTCTTTAGAGTCAGAGACTATATTTTATTTACCTTTTTTTTGAGACAGGGTCTCACTGTAGTTCAGGCAGTTCTCGAACTCAGAGCGATCCTCCTGCCTCAGATCCTCCTGCCTCAGCTTCCCGAGTGCTGAGATTACAGGCCTGTGCCACCACACCCAGCTTTGACTTCTTAATACATATTTTTCTAGAAAGCCTAGATATCCTGTGCTTATCCATCCACCCTCCAACCCACCCACTCACCCACCTATCCACCCATCCCTCCATCCAGTTCTGACACTGTGTGTGTGAGGCACTATCATTAGTGCTGAGAATAATGTAACAGGGAAAAGAACACAGTTCCTGCTCTTGTGCAGCTAACATTCTGGGAGGACGTAACAAAATAATAAATCAAAATGATGATAACTTACATTTACTGGGTCTGTGCTGTGTGCCCCAATTAACTGCTTCACACAAAGCCTGCCATTTAATCCTGACAATGACTCTGTGGAGTCACTGCCATTTTTGTCCCTGTTTTCAGGGACAACTGAGGAAACTGAGAGCTTAGAGGTATTACTGCTTGCCCTATCAACAACTAAAGAATGATCTGAGATTTAAACCTAGATCTTTCTGATTTCTTAGCCTGAGGATTGGCAAACAGTGGTCCATGGCACAAATTCCAATGAAACCAGGTTTTCCTGGAGCACTCCTTTGTGTACTGTCCAGGCTGCATTCACACCATGCCAGAAGGGAACAGCCCCGCAGAGACTGCATGGCCCAAAGCCTACAGTACTTACTGTCTGGCAGGATATCACAGGAAAAGTTTGCTAGTTTATTTTTTCCTAACTTGGGCCCAAATGAACTTCCCTGAAGCACTAGATGACCTAGTGCCTCCATTTGCTAATGAGTGACACATGCGTGGTTTCCAGTAACTCTTCTGAGCATTGGTGGCGTTGGACACTTGGCTTCCTCATAGAGAGGGCTCCACCTGTGCTCCATTTCCTTCCATCACTTGGTCCTTTCAAAGAGCTCATTTACCTGCAGTCATCGTTAAAAGCTGAGCCCTGTGTCTAACCTCCCATTTTCTTTTTAACCTCCCATCTTGGCCTTGTCTCCAGCCTAGACAAGAGAATCTATTTATTACCTTAAAGATGACAAAAGAAATTAATCAGGATTTGGAAACTAAATTTATCCTCTGAGATGACATTGGGCGCATTCAGGCTGGTTTGGCCGTAGACTAAATTTATCCTCTGAGAAGAATGCAAGAGATAAATTGAAGCATAGTTCTTTGTTCCTACTTCATTCACACTCTTCTCTCAGCTTGGCTTTTTAGGAAGGGCAGAGACAGTGCTGAAATTTAGGACCAATATTACCAGGGAAAAACATATTCGACAGCTAAATTAGTTTGGCAGTAGGGCGGGGTGAAGGGCTGAGCCAGGAATGGACTATGGGTATCAGATGAGGCTGGCGCAGGTACCTACTCTCTTAGCATTGGTGAAGCTGTGCATGAGGAGACACAGCAATTCCAAGGCCTCACAGGATGCCCCAGGGACAGGGAGACATTGAAACAAGAAATAAGGCCCAGGCACCCCGAAGATCATACCACTATCAAAGCTGAGACATTGTGCTCTAGACAGAAGGTTGCTGAGGCCAACAGTGTAGCAGAAAGATTGCACAAATGCATGCGCATGGAGGGCAGCTCATGTGCTTGTCACTAAACTTCAGCTGTGCCGACTTGGTAAGAGCCTGGTCCTGGTCCCGTGCTGTGCTTACATGGACCATGTAATCTACCTGGCAGCAGACCCACGGAGTCTTTGCTCAGTGTGAGGCTCAGTGGATGTGTCAAGAAGTGTAAGACCTAGCTGGGCGTGGTGGTGCCTGCCTGTGATCCCAGTGTTTGGAAGGCTGAGGGAGGAAGACTGCTGAGAGTTTTGAGGCCAGCCTCAACTACCATACTGCTATAGTGAGATGCTGTCTCAAAAAAATCAAAAGCAGAGAAGGGGAAAAAAAAGAAGTGTAAGGCCTAGTATAGTGGTTAATTCTCCCATCAATTCTAAGGGGTAGATATGACTAACCCCATTTTATAAGTGAGTATCAGAGAGGTTAACTATCTTATGTACAAGCTGTACAGCCAAGAAGTAATACAAGTTGGACCTGAATATCAGTGTCTGAAATGCTTCTCTGGTACAAGCATCTAAGCATTAATATAAAGTAGTGACAGCTGATTTAGAAAATTGAAGAGAGAGAAAAAAAAAGAAAATTGAAGAGATCTCCCTCCTAAAGGCCAAGATAACAACACTTTCCCCCTTTGGTCGCATTAGAAAGCCGTGTGTTGGGGTGCGATCACTGACAGCTTGCGGAGGGGCATTAGGTCAGCCCCTTTCAGTCCCACCGCTGGCTTGGTGAGGAGGTGGCAGGCGAGGCTCTCAACAAAACAATGCACTGAGTCTGTTCTGACGTGCAGACAGGAGCACAGACCTCTGTGGCTACCCTGGCATTGGCACTTTTATTTTTTTTACTTTTTGGTACCGGGGATCGAACTTGGGATCCTGCGCTTTCGAGGCAGTCAGCGGAAGCACTGAGCTAAGTCCCTGGCCTGCACTGGCACTTTTAATAGAGAACGAGGGGCTCAGGCTAAGGTAAACACTGGGGCCACCAGCGGACAGAACTCTCTGTGTGAGTTATTAACCACAGTGCGTAACCCCCCATTTACCTGCCTGAAGCTAGAGGGCCAGTCATTCGTATGGATGGGTTTTCAGCAACAAAGTGGGAGCGTTTGCTTTGGCCCTGCCTGCTACAAGGTGACTCCAGGGCTCTGCCCTTACTTCTGTAATTCCTCCACCTGGTAAGGACCACGAGGTTGGGTCTAGCCCTTGCTCACAGTCCTTGGTGCTTCAAAGTAGGTGGGTGTGCTCTGCCCTGAACATCTGCAGGAAATAGCCTTCCTGATCCTTCTGACACCATGGAGGAAGATGCCCTTCGACTGACGTTGGAGCCCATGCCCAAAAGCCCCTTTCCTTTCTGTCTTGCTTCTTTGCACTACTCATTTCTGTTTCTTGCCCTCTTTTCCATTTCCTGGTTTCCCTCAGAGACTATATGGTTCCTTTCACCTGATATACAGCCAATGACATGCTCTTCGGAATGGAAATGAAGATCCCATGTTCTTTTATCCTTATTCCCCTTCTTCTCTCCCTTCTTTGGGATTTTCCTAAGCAAGGGGTTCAGGATCCAGATCTCAGAGTCTTATAGGACAATGAACAGTCCTATGACAGCCTCACTCCCATCTGTGCCACCTCTGAGGTTGGAGAGAGGGGTGAGAGCTGGCAGTGCTGTCTCCAGGACTCCCCAGCATCACCTCTGCACCCATGGCCCTGCCCACTGCAAGGTCACATCAAGGTTTTGCTTATGCAAAATAAGGGGTTCAGTTATAGAGAGCTGCGGTATGTCAGGGTGAATGCACTCAGACATGTAGAGCCCTGGGGAAGCCCTGAAGCTCTGCTCACTGACCTTCCTGAGGGATGGCTGTGGCACAGAGGCTTTTCTCATCCTCAGGGGCACTGAACCACATAGGATTCTTGCCACACAGCTGTCTACCCATCACAGAGCACACAGATCCCTACAACTTAGAACTTACCACAGATGTGATCCAACAGTACACCAGAGCTTGCCCATTTGGGTTCAGATTCTTTAGTATTCCCCAGCCTGCCATTCCTCAGCATTTCTCAGGCACCTGTGCTAGGCCACTGAAGTCTGTCTGCAATCCCCCAAATAAGCAGCAACACAGCCCTCTCTAAAAATGTCCATAGCAGCTATGTGTCAGGTAAGAGAAAAATTGTTTCTGATTAATTAGTTACTCCAGGTCCCTTGTAGAGTGAGCAGTTAGAGATGAAGTCTGCAGACTTGGAGGACCACAGCACAGGCTGCTCCTGTTGTTCCACTGAGGGGTGAGCAACGGAAGCACTTGAGTATGACAGACAAGGTAGGCGCCACTTAGAAACAGTTCCTTGCCTAAAACAGGAGCTTCTAGCTCAGAGGATCTAAGAGGTTACAACCCCTTTTCCTGTCCTCCTGTCCTGGAGGCAGTACGTTTCAATCTCACCTGGTGATTTCTTCTTTCAGGGCAGCAGGGTCTGCAGGGTAAAATTTCACACGGAAGCACATGGTGAATGGAGGCTGCGCTGCAGAGAAAAAGTGATACCCGTCAGGGGAGACCCTCTCCTAGGGGATGACTGGGCCTCCCAACCACCAGAAGAAAATCCTCCCAGGCTGGGGGCCAACTCAGAACAGTGGAGCATCCCATATGTAGACCAAGACTTTGTACTCGGGGAGGCTTCGTCCCACCCTCCCTAGGGGTGAGGCTCCGGTCTTCATAGAGAATACTTACATCTCAGTTGCTTCACCACAGACTTCGTGAACTCCAACCAATGCTGAAACAGAATATGGAACATGAAAGCCACGATGAGGAGCAGTGTCAGATGTAACTTGTTTTATCCAATTTAAATAACTAGGCAGATTGCAGCCTAGGGCAGAACTCAAAATCTTGTGCAATATAGATTTGGAGAGTAAAGAGTGGTATGATTTTCTGAAATAAGCTCCCTGTGGAGTCAGCTATGAAGGGGGGAATTGTTCCAGCTTCAGATGCCACTCCTGGGCTTCCCTGGAAATGCTGCCTCCTAACGCAGGGTGCCGGAGTTCTGAGCCATGGGTCTGGCACAAAACCAGGGACGAATGACTGCACAGACGTGTAGTGGGGACAAAGATCCCTCTGGCTTGAGCAGGAAAAACTGAGTTAAATGGGTGGTGTGTATTGTGTTATGTGCCAACTTTTTTTTTTTTTTTTTGCAAAGAAGTGGGATAGAGGCCATCAGTAGAAACTTCAGCACGTATTGAGAGAACTTGTATGAATGGAGACAAGGCAGAGATGGCTGGTGTATGCTTCCATTTTTATTCTGAGTATCACAGATTGCCAACCCTTGTGTCAGAGAACACTTACTCTGGATTCCTTGGCACACAAGGGATATGTGAAGTCTAAGTTTCATAAGATAATTAACTACAACCAATGTGCAGGATAGTTCCTGTTCCCCTTGGGTTTTTAGAGGCAGAACATAGTAGCAATACATGTTCCCCCATGGCACTTAAGTTCAGGGGAAGGAAGCCATTCTACATTTGTTTCTCAGTTTTTTTCTTTTCTTTTTTTTTTGGTACCAGGGATCGAACTCGGGTCCTTGTGCTTGAGCAGGAGGCAGCAAAAACCACTGAGCTAAATCCCCGGCCCCGTAAAACTCAATATTGATGTTTGTTGCTTTTACACTAAGCAGGTAACTGTCAATCTGCAGAGAGCTAAACTGCTATTATTTGGGGGTTGATTGCCTGGAAGTGGCTTAAAGCTCCTAGATGAAAGCTCTGAGAGGGCAGGAACCTGTCTTATTCACCAGTCACCAGTGCCTACACTTGTTCTTAACATGGGGGCGTCGAGTGCATAAAGGGACCTGGCCCACGATGCTCTCTTTCCCGGCTACTTCTACTTCACAGAATTCCTTGGCAGAGGCCTGCCCCAGCAGGAAGGTAACCAAGGCCATGCAGACAGCATCCTGGGCTCCCTCAATTGCCAGCTCACCTTCTGGGCTGGACCATGGGTCATGCAGCTAATGGACCCACTAAGAGCCAGTTCTTCGGTCAGCTCCACATGGATAATCTGGGCTGACATTGTGCGCTCTGGCTTCCTCTGATCTAAGTTCCCACGAGGCTGGCAACTCATTATAGCCACTCAGTGTGGTTAACAGGTCCTTCTCACATTACACGGCCCACCGCGGCTTCGCTTCGCAGGGAAGCAAAGGCAAGAGATGAAATTGCGCAGAAACGGCCGAGCTCCAGGTTGTGGCTGTGAAGGCGGAGGAGTCTGCCTGCTCTGAGCATTTCGGAATTGTGTACAGGGAGAGGAACTTGACAGGTGTCAGGGACTCAGTAAACACAATGTCCCTGGCCTTTAGGCTGATAGATTAAAAGAAATAAACAAAGGAAGACAGAAATTAGAGGAGTGAGTGTGCAATGCATTGTCAGCAGAGGGCAGGTGGTGCTGAATGGCAAAAAGGCTGGAGAGAAGACTAGTTTGTACTTTAGGGAGAGCTCCAGAAAGGATCAGGGCTGGAGGAAATTAGGGAATGGAAGGCTGTCAGTTTGTCCAAAGGATTTTAGGAATCTAGTAGAGAAGTCTTGAGAGGATCCCAAGAATATAGTGAGGGCCAGAGTTGCTGTTTACAGCTGTCTGGTAAAATCTGGTGATTCTTCACTAGCAAACTAGTGACATGGGGCGAAGGGCTTCCTCCTATATTTGGTGAATGGGCTCAAGTGGCACAACCTTCAGCCTGTGGGAACTTGAAAGGGCAGAAGGGAGAGCTGAAAGGAGGCCAGGCCCCAGTCCGACCAGAGCTCAGGGGCGGGGGCAGGGGAACTTCTCCAGGAGAGTCCCGGAGAGTTCCAGACACTGGAAGCCACCTGCAGAGCAAGTGGGTGGTGCAGATGGATGTGACTCTGGTTCACACTACTCAGAGCCCCGGGAGGAGGAGGTTTAGCGTATATTCTGGGGGGCTGGGGAACTCACCTTCTCCCTTAGCACAATGGGCCACTGGTTCTAGGACAGCTCTTTACAGGTCCACTCCCCTCCAACCCTCCAACAGTGTCTCAGACCTCAGCTCTCAGAGGCTATCAGATGTGACTTCAGCATGGAATCTTCAAAACCAGGCAGCCTCTGGAGTCAGACAAGACTGACATAAGACTGCCTTTGCCATTTATTTTGGTTAAGCAAGTTAATTAACTGGTCTGAGATTTTATTTACTTATTTGGAGATGGTATATATACATATATATATATATTTGGTACCGGGGATCGAACTCGGGACCTTGCACTTTCGAGGCAGGCGGCGGAACCACTGAGCTAAATCCCCGGACCCTGGAGATGGCTATTATAATTGTGGATATTCACCTCATTGGCCTTAATGGTTATGTGAAGAACATATGTGAAGCTCTTAGCTTAGTGCCAGACACAACTCAGTGCTCAATAGACATCAGCTGGATGTCTGTGCTCACTGCAGAGCGTGACACACAGCAGGCACTCCCAACATGTTTACTTCTCCTCTTACTCTCTCTCTCTCTCTAGCTCCCTTTCCTTTTAATCCTTATCATCTTCACGTGTGCTCTTATTCGCACACACAGTCCAAACGAACTCAAAATTCATCAGCAGACACATTTAACCCTTTTTCCTCCATATACCGCCACCTCTGGGAGATGAGATCTTGGGGTAACCTTTTTAAGGAAAGTTCAGACCAGACACCCACATTCCATTTGTGAAAACACCCCACTATTTTATAGTGAGTGGGTGCCTGGAGCAGGGGAGGATATGGAGCTTTCTGTTATGAAAGCACCTGTGGCCTTGAACTAAGGTTTAGACCTAAGCAGATGTGATCATTAAGTGACTGTGTCAACTCGACTAAGAAGTGACCCACTAAACTGGCTCAGCATGGTCCTGGGTGTGGACACCCATCCTAGGGGGATTGTCACCAGAATAGTATGAAAGGGAAGTGAAAAAGGAAGGCTCGTTGCTGTTTCTTCAGAGGACCTCCAACCCCACCTTCACCTTGGACATCACCGCCTGGCTTTCAACACAGACCCTCTGGCCTGCTGATACGGACTCACATGGGACACTACACTGAGCTCCAGGCCTTCAGTCAGATCCTCCAGATCTCCAGCGTGCAGACAGACCTTTCGCAGTCTTCCACACCTGACTCTGAGGGCAGCCATTCTAAGCCAATCTTGTAAATTCTTATATATTTGTATACCTTGCATTAGATCTGCTTCTCTAGTAAGCACTGATACAATCAACAGAGTGGAGCCTCTGTGAAGTGACTACTTAGCCACTACTTCCAAACACTGATGCTGCTCAGAGCTCTGCTGGGCTGGGAAATACGTCTGTGGAGGGTGGGAGCAGTGCTAGTCAAAGGAAAGGGATATGGTCCTTTAGAACCTCCCTTAAAGTTCATGTGTTTGATACACAAGCCTGGAAGACCCTGGAAAACCAAGAGGATCAGAGCAACATTGGACAAACAGCTCTTGACTCTGACATGGTAAGTGGCACATCTGCAACCCCAAGCCCTGCTGAAATGCTGAGCCCTCTGGGCCCAAGGGCCCCAGTGACAACAGAAACTAACCCCATGTTTGGAGCTTTGAGGAAAATCCTCTAGAATACATGATGCTAAGGCTTTTGGAGAGTGGCAGATGACCATGAGTGGCAAGCAGGGGTACAGAGAATTGAGTCACAGTGGCCTGAATGCATCTGCAAATTGTCCTGCTTCAAGGGAGATGCCAAAGGGAGACTGCAAAGGGAGAATGAGCCCAAATCATAGAAACTGCAGGTGTCTGCAAGCCAGTCAAAAAGAGGTAGGAATAAGGCACTATAAACCATTCACTTCAGTCATTTATTCCTTCAGCAAATGCTTACTGAACATCAGCTACATCCCGGGTCCTGTGCTAGTTAGGTGGGAGATGGTGGTGAATGAGACCAAGCCCACCCTCTCACGGAACTTACCCGCGGGGAGCACAGGAGGTCACAGCACGGTGTGAGAAGCACCAGGACAGGGTGTCAGAGGCATGCAGGTTGCAGAGGAGGGCCCCTAACACCGAGTATGATTAGGGAAGGCTCCCGAAGAAGGTAACTGTCTCAGGTAAGACCTTAAACATGAAAAGGAGCTAGCCAGAAGGAAGATGTGCAGTGTGAAGCGAGGAGAAGCGTGTTCCAGGCAAGAGGACTACAGAGGTAAAGCGCTGAGAAGGAAAAGGGCACATGTGTTGGAGCGCTGCCCATCTGGGCAGACCACGGCATGGAGGAGCCAACTGGGGAGGTGGAGCTGAGATGAAGTAGGGAACTGAGGGTGCAGACTTCTTCTTTTTTGGTACCGGGGATCGAACTCAGAACTTTGCCCTTGTGAGGCAGGTGTGTTGCCACTGAGCTAAATCCCTGGCCCTAGACTTCTTCCTGTCTGCATCTGAACCATCACAGTCCTTGTCAGGGCCCAGTAGCTGCAGTGCTGCCTGTGTAATGTAGCCCAGAGTAAGAATCACGGGATTAGCAAGGTGCTGAAAGGCCTGACAGTTTGGCTGTTTCTGTTCTGCCGAGATGGGGGTGGCACCTCAGTAACTGTGACAACATGGTTACGCTCATTTACTAGAAGTGGGGCAGAAGAGACTCCCTTAGGCTCTGGGTTCCCAATGGCGGCCTCTCTCCTAAGCCTCCAACTCCAACTTTGGGCAAATCCCTTATGTTCCTTAGGCTGCCATTTCTACATCTGTAACAGGGTAGGCTTCTCTGGGTGAGCTGTAGCTAAGGTGCCTTCTGGGTCTAGCTTCAAGGACTGGCTGGTGCCTCACTCATGAAATGAACCCTAAATTCGAAGGTTCAAGGCTTTAGGGTTACTAAGCCTCGGCTCCCTTATTGCTTTGACTTTTGACTTACCCGCTGCTTATCTGGGTCCACAAAGCGTATGCCAAAGTAGTCTTTCTCAAGTAGGTTCAGGTGGTGGCAAAGAAGGTCAAACAGGTACTGGCCCTTGGCATCTCTCTGCAAAGAAAGCATGCTCCACTGAGAAATGAACAGTCTTCTTCAGTGTGACTTTGTTTTTATACTCATTGAAATGGTGTACAGCTGTGGGGATGAAGGGGGCACATGTCCATCACTGTGTCCTTGTTACTGTGATGCATTAGACATACTCTGCCTTCTGAGATTTTAGCTGGAAAGAGCCCAGAAACTCGCAGAGATGTCAGAGAATTCAGCGTTGAGTCACGTAAGTCAGATCCAATCTCTAATGTACAAACCTTTCTTACACCAGTGGGAATAGGGAACATCCATGCGGAACGCAGTAGCAATTACAGCATATCCAATGAGCTCTGCCTCTGATCTGCATACTGAAGCTAGGCATGGTGGCACACGCCTTAGTGCCAAAATCGAGTCCTCTATGGGCAACTTAGTGACCTGGTGAGACCCTGTCAAAACAAACAAACCAGCCAACCAGCCAACCTGAGGGCTATATATTACAGGCCCTGGGTTCAAGTTCAGTCTCTAGTAAAACGCACACACACACACACACACACGTCCTGGATTTGTTCACTTCTTTCACTCCCATTAGGAACCCCACAGGTGAAGCCACGAGCACCTCCCAGATGGACCACTGCCAGGGCCTTCCCGTGGGTTTTCTGCTCCTGCTCTTGCCCTCCGCAGTCCGTTCTTCATGCAGCAGCAAGAGCGATCACAATGTAGCTATAAAGTCTTTTCCAGGTAAGTAATACAGGCACACTGTAAGCTACTCCAGTGCACCAAAGACTGCACAATGAGAGTCAATCTCCCTTCTTTCTAGCCTTCCCGTGGACTTAGTTCCTCTCCTCAGAAGCAATCTGCTGCCAGTTTCCAGTGCATACATTTTATACACAAGCAAAACTGCATACATGGATATTGCCTCTAAAAAAATAATTAAGATGTGTTATATACATGTACCAACTTCCACGATAAGTATAATCGTTATGTGCTGCAAACATGTACTAACAAAAAATTTTAAAAATCTATTTGTGGGCTGGGGATTTAGCTCAGTGGTGCCACACCTGCCTTGCAAGTGCATTGTCCTGAGTTTGATCTCCAGTACCAGAAAAATCTATTTTTAATTATTTTTTCAGTGATGAGGATCAAACCCAAGGATTGGCACATGCTAGGCAAATGTTTACCATTGAGGCATACTCGCAGCCCCCATTTGTATTTTACCTTTATACTCTATCCTGTTTCTTTTTTCCCCTTACATTTAGTACATATAGATATACTTCAGGTTGTTGTTGTTGTTGTTTTCGGGTTTTTTTGCATTGCTGAAGATGGAGCCCAGGGCTCACCCATAGGAGGAAAGTGCTCTACCACTGAGCCACATCCCTAGTCCTGCCTCAGAGATTTTACCTGCTATATACCACGGTGATGAACCTGAAGTTATGTACCCGGTCCAACACCAGCAAAGTGTTTCTCACCTATTGGACACAATGTGGCAGTGAACACACAGTGACCTTTAATTACCCTGTTCACTTCTGCTTAACACCATTATGCCTTCCCTTCCCACTGCTGTCAGAATAAAGTCCTAACTCCAATCCTGGCTAGTAACACCCCACATAGCCTGGGTTCTGCCTTCCCTTTGAACTCATCCTACATCCTCCTCCTTACTGCACGCTGGCCACAGCTTTTCTGTCTTTGAACACAGCACAGCTCTCTTGCCTCTGGCACTTCATATTCCCTTGCCCTGAATGGTGTTTCTACAGCTCACACCAGGCACTCCTGCCCTGGAGGCCTCAACCCACATGTCCCTCTGCAGAAAGGTCTTTCTGCAAAATGGCCCTTCTGCATGGCTTTATGTCCTTCACAGCACTTACAACGCTTTGTAATTATCTTGTTGACTTGTTTACTTTTCAAGACTGTGATTTTTCTGAGGAAACGATCCCTCCTCCAGAACTTAGCACATGCCTGAAACAGGTAGTACTCAATGATTATTTCTTGAATAAATTCATGAACCAATGGATTAAGGTAGAGGTTGGAATGGTTGCACAATGTGTCTTTCAGGCTGTTTATAAAGCACAACTTTTGCTTCAGAGAGCTGCCTGGCTATCCAGGATAAGCAGGGAGGAGAATGAGTTGCAGAGAATTATCCAAACATTTGAAGCCTGCAAAGCATCCATCTCTGGACCTGTCCACAGAGGTCCCTGCCACTCAGCTCAGATGACCATCTCTGGAGGGTACACATCTAACTTTGTATCCAAATTGAGGCTGTCTTATAAATTCCACAGGACTCACCTATGCCAAGGCCTAAGGCCATGAGTAATCACAGAAAGGCCTGGCCCTTCAAGAATGAGGATGTTTTTAAGACTTTCACTAAAGGTTTACACCTCACCTCTTCTTTTGTTGGCTCAACCTATACCCACGGTGGTGAACCCACGGCATGCGTGCTGCAGCAGGCTGTTTCTATCACTGAAAGATCTAAAACGTTCACCATCACTGCCCTACACTGTTGAAGGAGAACTAGGGCAGGATACTAAATCTCTCAGCACTGTTGTAAAAAGCTTATCCTTTTATTTTTTAATTTTTTTTTTAGTACTGGGGATTGAACTCAGGACCTTGGGCTTGAGACAGGTCGGGGAACCACTGAGCTACATCCCCGGCCCAAGCTTATCCTTTTAGAAGCTGCAGGACGAGTGGTAGACAGCTCAACTGAAGGAGGAATATCCCTCCTCCTTTCTGGTAGCCTCGTGTTTCCTCACGTAACATGTTCCCAAAGCAGTGGCCCCATGTCCACACTCCTTGGTCCCCAACTGAAAAGGGCTATTCCAGGACAGATACTAGGAATCACGCTGGCCCTTCTGAATGGTGGGCCACAAACTAGTCTTTCAAAGAACTCCAGCAGCTATTGCCTCTCTCTTTTTTTGGGGGAACAGGGATCGAACTCGGGTCCTTGCACTTGCACAGCAGGCGGCCGAACCACTGAGCTACATCCCCGGCCCAACATTGAGTATTGTCGTTTTTGTTTTTTTTTTAGCTATTGTCTCTTCGGGCAGAGCCCTATCAACTACTTCCTTACTAGCCTTCAGAAAGTGGGAAAAACCTAAACTCATATTTAAGGTTCTGGGAGTGGAGGAAACATGTTCAGCTCTGACCCACACAGCAGATCCTGTACTATTAACTGTCCCCCCAGCAACTGAAACGGAATAGCATGAGACAGTTGCATACTGTGATTACTTTCCTCTACACATTTTACTTTGGTCCAAGCTGGCTACTGCACTGTGATCAGTTCGCATGAGTTTTAATGGCCAAAGAAGCTTCCACACATGCAGCAACCGTATTAGCAGAAGCCTAGGATAGAGATAGTGTTATGCTTATGTCTAGACATCCCCCAAAGCCTCAAGTGGTCATAGGTGGAGCTTTTTCTGGAACTGATTCAAGGTACAATGCTAGGCTGAAGGGCACTAGGATTGAGGGTGTGAATGCTACCCGCCCTAGTATTTGTTTTATATATTGGGTGCACTGCTATTTGGTGCATATATATTTAGGATTGTTATCTCTTCCTCTTGGATTGTTTCCTTTACCAGGATGTAGTAACCTTCTTTGTCTCTCTTAATCAGTTTTGGCTTGAAATCCACTTTGTCTGCAAATAGAATAGCTACCCCTGCTTTTTTTCCGGGTTCCTGTTGCATGGAATATTGTTTTCTTTGTTTCTTTTTTTTGGGGGGGGTACCGGGGATCGAACTCGGGTCCTTGTGCTTACGCAGCAGGCGGCGAAACCACTGAGCTAAATCCCCAGCCCAAATGTATTTCTTGTATGCAGTATATTGTTAGATCTTTCTTCTTGATCCATTCTGCCAATCTGTTTCTTTTGATTGGTGAACTGAGACCACTTACATTGATGGTTATAACTGACATGTATTGACTTATCCTTATCATGTTATTTTCCTGTTATTTCCCCTTTTTTCCCCCTCTCTGTTTGATTTCTTGCTTTGCCCGGTGGATTCATTCTTTTTGGGTTCATGGAGTTATAGTCCCTGTTATCTCTTTCTAGAAAGCCCTTCAGAACACTTTGGAGTGCTAGTTTGGTGGTCATGAATATCTTTAGGTGTTCTTTGTCATAAAAGTATCTTATTTCCCCCTCAATCTTTTTTTTCCCCCTCAATCTTGAAAGATAGTTTGTGGGGGTACATCAATCTGGATTGGAGGTTATTTTATTTTAGGGCTTGAAATACTTTACTTCAAGTTCTCCTTGAATGAGGGTTTGTGTTGAGAAGTCTGCTGTGATTCTGATGAGCTTTCCTTTACAGGTGATTTATTTCTTTTCTCTAACAGTTTTTATTATTCTGTTCTTATGTTGAATTTCTGGAATCTTGACTATTGCACATCTTGGTGTAATTTTATTTTTGATTATGGCTAACTGGAGTTCTATATGCCTCAATTATCTTTATGTAAAATTCTTTTTCCATGCTTGGAGAGTTTTCTGCCATTACTTCTATGAACAAGTTTTTTATGTTGTTTGAGCTATTTCCTGCTTTTTCATTGACTCTGATCAATCTTATGTTATTCTTCTTTGCATAATCTAGCAGCTGCTGGATTGATTTTTCTTGGTCCTTTGCTATTTTTAAGACATCTTTCTTTTCATGATCACTAACCACAATCTTGTTTTCTGTATTTGATATTCTGTCCTCACACTGGCTCATTCTATGGTGTATACTTTCAGTGGAATTTTTAATCTCCTGGATATCTGTTTGAATCCATTTCACAGATTCTATTTCTTTCCTTTACTGGTTGTTTTTGGTTTTCATCATTTTCCTAAGCTCTTTTTTTTTTGGGGGGGGGGTAGTGGGGATCGAACTCAGGACCTTGCCCTTGCGAAGCAGGTGGTGGCATGATTGAGGTAAATTCCTGGCCTTCTCTATTTTAAAAAATCTGGATCTGCTCTAGATTCACTAACTATATCCTTCATTATGGTCACTATCTCTGTGGTTATCCGAGAAATTATTTCTAATTTGATTTTTTTCTACAGCCCCATTCATTTT